TATTATTATCGTCGCGAGACGTATGCCTAAAAACGGTACTGGATGTGTTACACGCGTCTTATTATTGTCTCTAATCGTAAATTTGTGCCAAGCCTATTAAAACTAAACGAACGTACGAGAATCGCGAAACTATGTACCACGCAGACGACGCATTGATAAACGCGTTATCTATAATGTGCGAGCGTTAATACTAGGGATGTAAGCGTCCTCAAAATTCGACTGTTTGAACTTCTGAACTATCGATTATACATGACGATATGCAATCTTTGAATTCTCGTTTTCAAACGTTATTATAATAGCTATGCTAAATGTACGTCACACGAGTTTTGAACGACTACTCACGACTAAACCGTGTTTCATATCATATTATTTATTAACAATAATAATGGTAATAATTCACCCTGCTTTTCGCGCATACATCCCATTCATACTAATATGCACAATAGTCATTTGTAGTTGTTTAGTCCAATCATTTCAATACTTAATATTATGTTATTGCTAAACGATCGTGACGGTGCCGTAGCATAAGACTTGTTGGTTATAAAGCTTATCTAGTGGCACAGACCATTTATTTAAACATTATTATTATATTACTTAATGGGAGAGTAAGTCATTGATAATAGATGCTTATAAAAATAATATTACATTTTAATAATATGTTTTTTTTTTGGTAAACTCGGCCACTAGGACCATCTCGAAATACGTTCTTACCTTCAGTTTTCTCTATTTAACGCCTATATCTTTCGGTCTAAATCTCCTAACGTTTTCACATGATTCCTAACTATATCCTCCTATATCAAAAATCAAAAGTGGTCTTCTTAATACTTATAGATAAGTTTTACCAATATCAAGCATACTCAGGCCATTTTAATATTTTTTTTGCGACCATTTTTAGTATACCTACTTATATGTTCTATTACTACGAAATTACGAAAATATTGAAAACAATATACTCGTATTACATATTATAGATTACATTAAAACCTAAACAGTATAATATGTACTTAAAATTTAATTCTATGAGCTTTCAATTGAGCAATCTTGACAAAAACTTTTGTTTATTTAATGTTAAGAGCCATATACTGTTTCAACTTGGACATAAACTTCAAGGTCCCGGGCCTTGACTTTGGTGGTCACGACCTAATTACCCCACGGGACCGAAATACCAGCAATTGAAAAATCCTCTCGTATCATGCCATAAACATAATATTTATTATTAATTATTCGTGTACGGTATACATCCGATTTAATTCTCGCGCAAAGTTTTACAGGTAAATGTATAATATAATTTATAAGTAGTGTATAGCTTATGTGCATAAAACATTCAAAAGTTTGATTTTTTTTACTCGCAGTACAACATGCTAAATGCATATCATATTATTATGATTATTTTACTTGTGCAAGGGTCGTATAGTATAGTATATTATATCATTTTCGTTTTAGTGTATTATTTGTGATTTCTTTTACGTAATATGTATATATTGTATATTATGTATTTATATCTTAGATATATATTTAAATAAACAATTTAACCAGATACCAAAACATGTGTCTATCTTAAGACTTTGAGACACGACGATAATGATGTCATGGTGAGTAATCCAATTTAAATCGAAGAACACAAATAGCATTTTTTCATCGACAAAATCCGGTAATTTATACAGTGAATGTTGTCTAACTAGTAATTTACTGCACGAAATGTCGTATCATTGTTATTCGAAACTACTACGTATTATAACGTTTGTTTACTAGATAACTAGTATTATATAGTGCTACTATATAAAAATAATAGTATAATATGTAATATTTATTTAATATATACAAATTACATAATATATGTACAATAATATTATTGTTCAATACAGGTTATTTAAATACGGTACATTGATAATGATGATCAATTGTTGTTTTTATTTTGGGAGGCTAGAACGACTGGTGTAATATGAGATGAAAAATATTAGTTTATTACGATTCACATTTGTTTTATAATAATATTACATTAATTTAAGTGTAATATAGAATGAAGAATGATTGAAGTAGTTTAAAATTTTTAATGCTAGATGTATAGAGGTGTTCAAACATAAATATAAAAATCCAAATACACGTTTGAATGCTCTTAATCATTTATATTGAAATAGTATACGAGTGTTAAATATTTCAGGAAAAACTAATTTTAAAAATTATTTAAGTAATTTTTAGGCTAGATGATATTCCTTAGAATATCATTTAATTTATTAAAATATTATTGATGGACGATAGTATTACAACTAAATACACGGATGAAACGAAGCATAAAGCATATATATTAAAGTATTTTGATAATAAGAAATATCAAATTTAATAATTTAATTGATCAAAAATTTATAAAAAACTAAAATAATTTGAATTTTGGTTAAACGCCAAGATAATTTATTTGAATTTTAGATGTCGAAAAGAATTATTTAGGTTATATGGATTTTATTTTTAATGATTTTTAGGGGAATTCTTGTTAACTCGAATACCTAACCTGAGAAAAAGAATAAAAAAATACTTTCTTCCGAGAGTTTTCAGAAAATAATATTTGTTTAAAATATTGTTTACGACTCATGATGTTTCAAACAGTGAAATATAATTTGCTTATACTTCATGAGTAAAAATTGCAAATATTTTGCATCTATTTAATTGTAATTTTAAAATTTAGACATTGATGACATTTGATTAACGAAAATAAAACAATGAATAAAAAAAAAATTTTTATACTGCATTATTGCGTATGTTTTTTTCTTAGTTCTTAGATCTGATTGTTAATCGTTAGCTAAGTCTGAATATTTGGGTTAGATGTTTTCTTTGATATTTAACTTTTATTACTTATGCGTTTTGAATATAAATTGGTTAATTTAAGACTTCAAATTTGAAATTATAGGAATTATGTTCATCGAATTGTGAGTGAATACGTTTTACGATCTTGATATAATGCATAATATGTTTTACTTGAACAAATATTTTTTAGTGGACAGGAGCATTTAATTTTTTACCTTTGTTTATCTCTTTAGTTTACGTACATTTTAAAAACTAATCTTTGAGTAAATCAATTTTAAAATATTACTTTCAAAAATAACCATCAATAGTGTGAAGTTGCCGTGGAAACGATTTCTTTAAAAACCTTTGAACTTTGTATTATCGATCTATACGGGCTATGAGAAAGAAGAAATTTTTTATTACAAATATCAAAGGAAAAATTATTTACGAACAATAATAATATATGAACACGAGATTCATTGTTTACTGAAATATTCATACATTATTCAATGTCCTATAGATGTTCAATATTTCAACGAAATAAATATTTCAACTATTAAGTCTGAATTACCAGGTGATTATTGATTTTGTTAGCAGTTTTGTTGTAAAATTTGAATGCATATACTAGTATTTTAAAATTTAAAATAGCACGATATACCTATACTTTTAGTTGTATTTTTAACGCTAATGCAAAGTTTAACGTAATATACTGATTAATCAGTAATACTAGTTTCATATGAATGATTGTTATATGTAAAAAAAACATTTACATTTGATTAAAATTAAATTAAAAACCAGTACGCAAACAGTTTATCATGGAACTATGCTGTATATTTATAACGCAAGTAAAAATCACTTTAATCAAAATAGAAATAAATCGTATTTACGATATTTATGTAATGTGCAAAGTATTGGATACAAAATATTTGATATTATAAATATCTATGTATAATTTATAAAAACTCAATTTCGAAATGAGATATTGTAAAAAAAAAAAAAAACACTTTTTAATTAAAATTAAAATACATTTTTTTTTTTTATATGAAACATTTTTCTCATTTGTCAAACTATGGTATGTTATTAAGCAACTACTAATAGAATATTTCATTAAAATGTACAAACCTGTGATTTTGCAGTGCTATAAGACTTCCATAAATTTAAAATTTAATTTGAATGTTTTATTATTATAGTGTTTTCCTAAACTTATTCGCATCGAGCTTTCATCTGATATTTATTTAGTACTAATCCGTAAACTACTAGTCACTTCTTTACCGTTAGAACTTATATTTCTAATTTAAGAAATATATAAACTAAATTTACAGATTCTAATTTTTGATATAAATTATAACGAGAATAAATTTATCAAAAATAAATTGTAATTAAAATACCAATCACGTTTCTGATAAGTTTGTAATTCTATTTGGTGAATATATAATATATATATATATATATATATATATATATATATATATAGTTTATAATAATTATACTATTTATATAACCATGTGTTGATTAATAAATTTAGGTCATTTTGGTTTAACACATCAACAAGAAAGTAAAAATGATTGTAAAATTTGATCATATCTTCAAAGACGGACTGTTTAATGGTGAAAATAATGGCATACATAAATGTCTGACTTGGTTGAAGAGAGTTTAATTACTTCAATTAAAACAAAACCACGATAGAGCAGATCTCTCTAATATTGAATTATTTGGGATTTTAAACACCAATTGTTGGGCTCTTAGACATCTTGAAATCCTTAAAGTCATCGATTTTTATCATTTAATAGTTGACTAATGCGGTTGTGGTGTTCCAGAAACGTACTATATTTATACTACCATCTAACGTTCACCATTGTACTTTCTAAGGTTATATAAATAAACTTATAAGTTGTAATCAAATTCGTATTTAGTTTTTGATTAAACTGCGGTAAGTAGTATTGAGTGTAGCTTATAGCTATATATAAAATGTGCGTGAATTTAGGTCCAATTTTAAATTTCTACTATAGTTCGGGAACCAAATCGAAGTTTGGGAACATAATAAAATATTAAAATGTACGAGTTCTCGACCATTGTCAAGTTATGAATGTACCTACTATGTATAATACGTTTATTTATTTTTTATTTATTTTATTAACAATAATAACTGATTATTTATTGTATTTTAGTATCACTATTTTTATCTGTATTATCTATTTACGTTATCTGTTGTTTGTTTGTAGCAAGCCGAGAAGCCGCCTATATGTACGCTGTGATCAGTGCCGGCGTGACGTACGCGCTGATGGATGCGTGCAGCCGGGGCAACATATCCATTTGTGGATGCGACGCACACTATCCGAGTGCCTTGGATGACGGGCCAGCAGCTACCGCGTGGAAATGGGGCGGATGCAGTGTGGACTTGGGCTTCGGCATGGGGTTTGCCCGCAAGTTCCTTGACGCCCAGGAATCGGACCCTAACGATTCTCGAAGTTTGATGAACTTGCACAACAACAAGGCTGGCAGAAAGGTATACAATACCAATAATTAGTAATAAAAATAATATAATACTACAACAGTTATTTTTTGATTACAACTTATAACTACGGATCACTGGCTAAGGCCTACTGCAAATATTCTGAACCAGTATTAGTTTAGTGAATGTTTTCGTCTGAATTAAATTGTTTTCCATACTAACGTATTTTGGTGTTTTATTGAGTTGATTTTACTTGTGATGTTTTATATATCAAAGATAGAATCTAATTTTCCTAAAAACAGATTTTTACGATCATTAATTTACTAACTTCATACATTAAAAATAATTTTTTTTTTTATCTACGTCTCTGCTATTTAATATTATAATAATCGTATGCTATAAATATTTTAATTATTTAATCATATTATCGAGTTTGAACTATATAATCTATTTCCGAGCATTAACTAATTATATTTGTTGGACATTATAACATGTAATAGTTATAAACTATACGTAACACTAAAATCACACTCTTTCAGACATCACGCTCGTCTTTTGAGTTATATGATTAAAATATTAAAATATATAGATAAATAATTATTTGATTTTGAAAATTAATGGATAATTCGTTCTCGATAAAAATATAAGTATATAATATAATATCGTTTCTTATTTCATAAAAATCATAAGCAAAATAAATTATCTAATTAAAAAAATACATATATATTTATTCTGATTTTTCAATTATGTCAAGAATCAAGATACCAGAACTAACTAATAACATAACCATTTTCTACCATGACTTAAAATACTTTAGTACAAAATTTCTTAGAATATTAAAACATAAAAATTAATGTATTTTTTTTATACATATACCGTTAATGATATATTTACTATATATTATTATGATTGTGGTCACACGGCGTGCTGTATAGGCTATTTGGGTACATAAATGTGGCGGATTAGTATTTATTGCATGTTTTATAAGATATAGAGCTCATAACAATTTAAAATTATAATACATCATATTATTATTTAAAAACTATTAAAATGTATTAAATTTTAAAAATAAAAAATAACTATTAAAACTATATAATATGAGTGGATGTGTTGAAATTAGAATATATGCTATTATAATATAACAATTAACAATGAATATTACTCAAATTGGAACGCAATAATTTATGTACACTGAATTGAATAATGCTTATGTTATAAGTACTCAAGTCTACTTATATAAAGTACAATCATCTTGTTTATGTGCATATAATATAATTATAATATATTATGTTAGATTTTGAATCTATAGACAATGATATAATTAATTAAGCAATAATGAAAATGGTACTCTGCGTTGATACTAGGCTGGAGCATTATGTAATAAGTTAACAACTTAACTCTGGTCTAAGATGTTATAACAAATTTTTTTAGCTTAAATATCAAGTATAACCTTATAGTATTATACATGAATCTGTTAAAAGTAATAATGAGGTCGTTTTGAATTGAACACCTGCAAGTAGGTTAAATTTGTTGATATTTGAAACAAATAAATACTTACAGTTTATTTGCCCAAAATACCAACAGATTTTTTTTTTTTTAATGCATATGGTTACTATTATTTTATTTGAAAAATGTTACACTCAAAAATCTTACTACTCTTAATTATAGGCAACAATAATATGGAAATAAAAATTTACCAAATTTAATACGCTTATTAATTTATTAGTATATTTTAGTACTATCAATTTAACTGTTTAAAACTATAGCTATATATTTTTAACACGTAAAATTAAAAGTAATTTTTTTATAGATATTGGGTTTTTTAATTATGAATTGTTTACAAATACTAAAATCAAAATAAATTTACATGAGTAAAAAATTAATTTTTGACCTTCTTAGTCGTGGTTGATAATGTTAAATGTCAAGTCAGTAGCCACCAAGGCTATTTTACAAACAATGTTATTAATAACATTATAATACTTAAATAAAAATATAAGTCACGCACAAAAATTCCATTGTTACACAATAGGCGTGATGTATGTGCTGTACTGTAAAATAATATACTGAACGATTCTCTTATTAAACAACACTAATTATTTCAATACACTTTTGAAAAAAAATTTTACATAATTTTCAGTTGAAATGAAATATATTTTTAAATATTTTAAGTTTTTGATTATTTTAAATAATAATAAATTTTTTTAATTTTATGTTACAAAACAGAATATTTTTCAAAGTATTTCGATACATAAACGTCAAAATTTGGACGAGTAGTAAATGAGTTACACGTAATTAAAGTTAAGAGAGCGGAGTAGTAGACCAGAATTTTGTGAGATATTCTCATACCTATTGATTATAATTAAAAAATTTGTTTAATTTCGGCGGAAAATCAACTAAAAACAATATTTTTAAAAATATTTATAGATTTTAAAATAATGACCATTGTTTAATAAAATAATTTCCTGTATAATATAGTAAATACGCACCACGAAGTTTATTATAATACTATAGTATAGCATGTAACTGTGGTGCTATTTATATATGTAATAAATTATGAGTATACCGAAGACCAGGAACAACAGAAGTATTATTAAAGCTAGTAATATATTTCATTCAATTATTAAAAATTTGTATATAATAATTATTGATTTAATGAATATCGGATATTTATTTAAAAATCTTTTGGTTTTTCTTATGATTATAGATTTAATACAAACAATTTTTTTTTTTTTTTTTAATGTTGTCTTATGCTTTTAATATTTCAGAAATAATTAATTTTTTTTAAAGTTTATAATACATTAATTATACATAGGTATATATTATATATATTAAGTACACTCCGAGTCTTTTTTTATTTATTAAATTATTCGTTTTTTTTTAATTTTTTTTTTTTACAATAAGGTACTTCTAGCTTTCGCTATCTATACCTAGAAATGAAGGATTAAATTATTCGTAAAACATATTTATCAATGCTTAATATTTTTAATAACTGTACCTATATTACTTGTATTATATTGTACGTAGTATGTACTCTGTTTACTATTCCTATTAAAACATACCTACTATAATATTATAAATTAAAATGAATTAAAAATAATGCTCAAAACTTAAGATAAATCATGATATTTACATTTATTTTTATAATTTTGTCATATATTTTTTAATTTAAGTCATTTCATTAGAATTACCAACATTTTGTAGAATTGTATTTTATTTTTAAAATGTATTATTTTTTTTATTTTACTAACGTTAGCTTATACTTCATGATTCACTAGTTTATAAATAATTAATTATAATATTAGTAAAAAAAGTAGTATACTTTCACAATAAAAAAAATGATGAATTAAGAAGTTAGAGTAAATTTTTCTAGTTGTTATCAGTATAACTTAACTGTATTTATATTATTACTTATGTCAAACAGACGTACGTGATTAGAATCCATAATAAATAACCACTTACTTGGCTACTTATCTCGTAGATTCTTGGATTAATAACATAATATTATGTCGTATTATTTTTGTGATGTTTTAATGAATGAATATTTTAATTGAATATTTTTAAAATGGTCAATCGTTAAATCGTATTATATTTGTTATTGGATCTTTACGAAGAGTATTTGTATTTACATAGTCTGATTTCATATTATTTGTTCGCAGATTGTCAAAATGCTGTTGAACACCGACTGCAAGTGTCATGGAGTGTCCGGGAGTTGTACAATGAAGACGTGCTGGCACAGTTTGCCACATTTTCGGGAAGTCGGCAAAGCTCTCATGCGAAAGTACCGGAAGGCACGTAGTGTACAGGCCGCGGGAGCTGTAACCGCTGTCATAGGTGGTAATCCGCAAAGAGCTTCCGGCAAACGGTCGTCAAGACGACTGAGGCTCAGGCTCAGGTCAGCCAGGTCAGCAGCGACTGGATCGGCTGACGAGGAGGAGCCGAAGATCACCGAGCTCGTTTACCTGGAACAGTCACCCAACTACTGCGACCGGGACTTTGGCACCGGATCACTGGGCACGTACGGCCGTTCCTGTAACCGGACTTCTGAGGGTGAGCCCTAGAATACTTGTAAAATACTACACAGTTACATTTTTTATTACTTGACAAAATGATTGAACATCGCATACGATATTATATTATCTTGTACTTATCTAATACCTGTTGCCTGTTGGTGTGTCGATTGGCGTTGACGTCGTGCGACTCGTCTTAATTCTACAGTAATAAATAAATTTAATAAACTTGTATAACGCATATAATATCACCTATAAACGTTGACACATGTTTTTTGTTTAAATTATCGGTGCTACAATGGACCGTTTTTTTCGTATAAATAAGTGCCGGAAAATATTTTGTTTTTATCAGTTTCTCGTCGAGAAAAAGTAAATATGACGACTTTGTTCCATTTTTCTGTTCCGTATGTTATAATTATGTGGCTTTGCGTAACAAAGGACAAAGGCTAATATCACTTTTCAGAGGAAATGGACGTTATTTGTTTTGGTAGTTGGCAGAAGGAATTTGAACTTATATGACTAACTGTTACTAATAAATTTGTCATTGCGGGATTTTAAAAAAAAAGTATAAATATATTTTAACATTGTCCTTTCTCACTCGTGTACTATTCCTGCTTTGCACAGAACTCAATCTGTCTGTCACTGTATCGGTTATTATTATTTGTTTTGTGTGTAATTATATCTTTCGAATTTCTACAGGCACGGACGGCTGTGACCTGATGTGTTGCGGACGCGGGTACAACACGCACCAGTTCACCAGGACCAAACAGTGCCGATGCACGTTCTATTGGTGTTGTTACGTCAAGTGCGACACGTGCGTGGAACGGACCGAAGAATACAGTTGTAAATGACGTGCTCGTATTATGTAAATTATATAATATAATGTATAATTGTTACGTTGTTTTATAAACTTATCGTATATTTTTGTATTGTCCACGTGTGCCCATACTATTTATACGATATTTTAATTTATATTACCACACACAATATTATTGTAATAATTTATAGGTATATAGTTTATATTATATAATATATATATAGTTTTATATTTTATAAATAAAATTACCTTTCAAGTAATGTACAATAATATAATATGCACTGTGTGACTGAACGAGTCATTTTTTTCCTCTAATCATCAAAATTGACTACCTGGTCGATAGCTGTTGCTTTTTTTAACAGCAATAATATTATAATGAACTCAGAACTTGAAATAAATTCGTTTAATGTATGAACTAGTGATAACTGGCATAAAATTAAATCAAGTTTGTAAAACCATCAATTTTCCTTTATCTATTAGTTTTATGCTAGTAATACTTTAATTACTTTATATAAGTTCATTATTAACTTTTATCCTTAAACTTAACAACTCTAATAAATGTATACATTTATTAATTAATTTTAACTAAAAAAATAAAAATAGCTAATATGTAATAATTGAGAATTAAAATTGAAACACTAAAATTGGAAATTATTTATTTATTATAGTTACTATTACAATTTTCAATTCTTTATATTATATTAAAATTAATCCTTTGCAGCTCTCAAAGTGAATGTATGAAAAAAATTGCACTTCAACAAAAAATGTTTTGTAGTGTTAATTATAACTATATTATTAATTTAAATATATATATATACATGCCTATTGGAACAAAATACAAAATTTGAAGTGAAAGTAACTTTGAAATAATGTATAAACTTACTAAAAGTTTGAACAAATTGTAAATTAAATTAGTTCCCACATAATATGAACTTAAATTATTTTTGTTCATATAATTTAAACTCTATTCCGAAAACTGGTGAGATATTTGTTAATTCACTTCACATACTATATATATATATATATATATGCTCTACTGTGGCCCGCGGGTTAAGTGCAGTTACTTGACGAGCGTAAGAGGATTTCACTCAGCACAAATCTTGTTTATTCAAATACTCTTATTATTTAAGATTTAATTATATTTTATATTCAGATAATAATCCAAATACTTTTTTGAAATAAATATTTGAGTATGTATTCTAAGTATTTTTTAAATTTTTTTTTACATAATACATTTTTACAAAATATAAAACAAATATTTAAAACATTTTCATTTGTTCGATTTTAATTTATATCTATTTAAAACTACTATCCGATAAAAAAAAAAACATATCAGGCTATATGGTTAATATATATTTTTTACTAAAAAAAAACTACTTGACTTTTATTTTTATATATTGCATAGTTGTTTAGGATAAGTTGTATAAATAAAGTTCTTTTACAGAAAAAAAAAAAAATTATTGGATGCATTAGTTGACTTTTCTTTATACGAATTAAGTGTATCATTTATAGTCATTTGGATGATAAATAATAATTCAAAATAAGAGCTTATTTATTTATATTTGGTATAATTTAGTATCTCTTATACCTATGAAATGTTTTTTGTTACCAATCAAAGAATCAGAAATTAAAACTTTTTTGAACGAATTATTATGCGTATGGTTATTTTAAGGTCAAAAGTGGTTTTTTGAACAGGTCGTAGAAAGTTCCATATTTATAAAAAATAAAGATGATTCAACATCTATTATAATAAATATAATATTATATTAAAGTTTAATTATATGACATTTATTAGGATTTTTTGTGTAACTAGAGAAGGGTAAATATTTCGGCAATATTTGATGAGAAGGATAATTATTAAAACATTAAATATTCCATGATCATAAATATTGCTTATAATATTAACTTTGATATTATACAGCATGTATGTATTACAATCAGAAGCGTGGTTATGGTGAACGATTGAGTGACGTTGATTGTCTTTAAAACGAAAATATTAAATTCAAAGACAATCACTCAACAATTTATAAATTATAAGTAATAATAAAATTGATTTGATTGATAATTGTCGATCTTATACGACACTGTGTTAACTATTAAGTACTAATTTTTTTTCTATCTGTACAAAATATATTTTTTAATATTCATACCAATCGTTATTTGTTTTTTATGTAAATATATTATATATAAGTTCTGTGGGTTAAAGAGTAATATTATTATATATTGGGTCTTATCCGTAAGTTAAAATCGATACCGTAAATGGTAAAGTGAACTTTATTTTTTTTTGTATGGGGCCGTTAAATCCTAAGACCACCCTCAAATATACCACTAATTATATATATATATATATATACAGAAAATATTTCTGCAGTGCTTTTATTGGCAAGCATATATTATATCTCAAGAAAAATAAAGATAAAAATACAAAAGGCGTTTTTCTTTAAACGTAATAATAAGTCTAATGGATCCATAGTCTATTAATGCACAAGATTCTTGTAAAATCTATCGTGTTAAATAGCACGATTTAATTATTTATACTTAATAAGTAATACTTATAATATTAATATTTAAACGAAAGGTTTTACCTACCTATAAAGATTTAGTATCAATGGATAGGTAAATAGATTGAGATTTAAACAGTTAAGAATACAATAGAACACTCTTTTGTTTGGGAAATATTTCAAGTATTCTAAATAAGTTTAAATATAAAAATAGCAAAATACATATATTATACCTACTATTATATTATACTATCGATATTATTATTATTTATAATATGTAGAACACGCAAGTCCAACGATAATGTGATTTTCTTTCTTAAAGAATGAAATTAATTTCTAACTTTTAATTGATTATTATATCAACGATCTGATCCACAACACTCGTTATAATATTGGCGTATGTATTTTAAACTTTTATTTATTTTTCGTCTTAACACAGTATAAATTTTATGTTTGTGTTTATAAATATATAGACATGACCAGACTTTTTGGACTGAAGAAACACACACACCACAATTAAGGACAACTTTAAAAATGAATAAAAAAATCAAATAAATATAAAATAATAACGATTATGTTATTATTTTGAGAATACAATTTAAAATTATGGATACAACAGTAGCATACCAACATTTTAGTTACCATAATTCATAAAATCAAATCAAAAGAAAGGTTTAATTATATTTTTAAAACTTAAAATATTTTTTTAGTAATTTTATTCGTTTTTATTCATATGTTTTTAAGTCTTGATACTCCAAAAGTTATTGACGTTAAAATCGATAACATTTTGAAACAATATTGAATTTTCAAAAACAAATTATTATTAATTAAAACATGTACAGTTGTATAACTTATTAATTGTTACAAAATTATATTTTATTTATTTTAATATTTATTTTGTTTTGATTATTCTAGTGGTTTTTTTCTATTTTATTATTTTTATAAATATTTATATAATTTTGACTAATAGAGCCGATAAAATCATATGAAATTAGTTTTATGATTACAAGAGTTAATGAAGACTGGGAAGTAACTAACAAGTGGATTTAATTTTATCACACTGGTCGTCTCTCATGTCCTTAATCCTTTCGTATGCTGCTATACCACGTGATTTCAAGACCTTGAATTCGATAAAAACACTTGAGTTTTCAATACTCATAAATTAAAATTACAGCTATGAGGGGTTCGATAAAATCTTATGAGTGACGACAAGATCGTTAATAAGTCAGTATAATATAAATTAAATATAAATAGTCAAAAATGGACTTAAACTGTTAAGCTCATACATCATTTTTAGAACACTCATTTTATTTTTTATTTTTAAATCCATTTTCCATTTTTTGTAATGTGATGAAAACGAACATGTTAGTATTATTTAGTTATTAATAATATATACTAATAATAGTAAAATAATTTTAAAGTCATTGAATAGTACCTAATAAGTATAAATGGTATTGGGTGTTATATTTTTGTACTACTTTATTATTTTTATGTAATAAATTTTTTTAAACTAAAAAATATTTTCAGATTACAATATAATTCAAACAATATTCTCAATTGTCAAATTTAATGAAAATATGTTGTTTTTTTTCATTTATAATGATACCAACAATTAAATTTCACAAAATATCCACCATAAGTTGTTTAAAAATCATTGATTTCACTATTATGGTAAGTTGATTTATTTATTTCTGAATATATTGAATTTATTATGTTGTTAACATTCAGTTATTACAGTAATAAAGTATTATACCTTATTAAATTATTATTATTAACTTCTAAGTTAATACATGTACTTTACCGTTAAAACCATTCATAGTATAAATAGATAATATCTTAAAATCAAATATGTCGTTACAAAACAAAATTATACATATTATGTGTTTTTAATATCTTAGTATAGATTTAAAAAAAATTTGTGTGGGATCTTGTATTACATTTTTTTGATCCAGTAAATAACTTTAATATCGCTATTTATAGAAAAAAAACTAGACAGAATTTCAATTTTTAAATATCTATAAACAGCTTAAAAAGAATTAATTATATTTAGAAAATTACACATGTGTTATCAATGCTATTATAAATATTTAGTGGAAATGACAAATATTTATAGTTATTCGTTTTTGAATTATAATAAAATGAAAAAATCATTAATGTCAAAAACTAGTAAGGCGTAAAAATTCACATTTTTCCAATTATTAAGAAAATTACTGGAAAATATTTACGTTTGACTTCTCCCAAAGTACTATCATCGGTTCATATAGTGGGACCCATTCCCAAAGATGAAAATCAAAAATACCTATTTATAATTATAAAGTATTTTACTAAAAAAAAAAAAACATATATCATTGTAAAATCAATACATTTTATACATTCATCGAATTGCTTATAATTTGAAATAAATGGGTATGTACCTAAATAATTACCTTTTTACGTAAAAATAAATATTTGGATATTGTAAATACTTATGGATGTAATTCACCTATGTACAAAATGCATCCGTGTTAAATTTGGTTTTTATTAAGCTTTACACATATGAATAAATAATATTTTTGGTTTTCTGAGATTTAGTGTATAAATTATATTTCCGACATATCAACTCTACATAGCTGGGACAGCTGGAGTTATTTTATTGACCATTTAACAGCAGTGATTTTTAAAATTCTTTTCTTTTTATTTTTTTTATTGAACGACCTAAATT